ACACCTGCCATTCTAACTGTTCCTTCTTTTTTGAGAGGGAACCGTTTTAACTATTTCTCTCATTGAAGGCTAAATAGAATCTCCGTCAATACTAAAGTTGATCATTTATCTTGTTTTTCTCTAGTACAAGCTATTCTTTTTCTTACAGGCGCCTCGTCTAGTTATTTGACATGATTTAAATTTTGGTATCCTATATGTACAGGAGAAGACAGGTGGGAAAATTATCTATCATAAAGGTGGTTTGATATACCTTTTCCGTGGTCGAAACTACAACTACAAGACTCGGCCACGCTTTCCTCTCATGTTATGGCGGCCTGTAACTCCTGTCTACCCAAGGTTGGTTCAACGAGTTCCAGAGGGTCTGACTTTAGAGGAAGCAACTTTAATGCGCAAAAAAGGACGCAATCTGATACCTATCTGCAAGCTTGGTCTGTTTTCCATTTATTTTTCCTATGTGTGGTTTACTCAACAAGAAATCTCTCTAATAATAAGTCTTGAATGTTTTGCAGCAAAAAATGGGGTGTATTGTGACCTTGTAAAGAATGTCAGAGAAGCATTTGAAGCTTGTGAATTGGTGTCTATAAATTGTCAAGGATTGAACCCAAGCGACTATAGGAAGATAGGTGCCAAGCTTAAGGTAAAGTGATTCCCAGTACCAGTGGTAAATGCTTTAGTATACACACAATTATTTTTGGGAAAGAAAAAAGAAGTGCAAGAAATTATGACCTCATTACTGTAAGTTGCTTTTTCTTAACTGTAGGATCTTGTCCCATGTGTGTTAATCTCTTTTGAGCAAGAGCACATACTCATGTGGAGAGGACGGGATTGGGTATCCTCTCTACCTGAAGACAGAGACAATGATTCTGATAAAGCTGCTAACACTAACCGATCCTTGGAAGTCCAAGTGGTTGCATCTACTTCTGGAAGTCCACGCTTACCAATTACAGAAATGAATACTTGCAATCTCAGTGCTAACACTTTTCCTCTGGGTGAGGAAGAATCAGAGTATGTTAGAAGGGACGGAACGAAGGAAGATAGGTCGGAGGATCACTATCTGGAATCTTCCAATAAGGCTCCTTTAGATGTTTGTTCTGTTACAACGACAGGGATAAGTGAAAGCGAAATCCCTCTGGTGTATGCAGGAGATACAGGTGACAATTCTAGAATTCTGAGTGACTGCCGTGAATGCAAAACAAGGTTGGATGATTCAGTGGTGGATACAGAAAATGAGTTGGAGAGCGCTTCAGATGATGTAGAAAACAAGTTTGATTCCTCATCTTTGGTTCCCTTGACTGGTTACAAGGTGCATTCTCTAACGGTAGATACAAACCAAAACTGTCAGCTGGTAAGCTCAATCACGCCATGTACGGAAGGAATTTTACTACTTTGGAAGCAGGCTATTGAAAGTGGGAGTGCAGTTCTATTAGATGATTCTAGTATCGATGCTGACATTGTCTATCAAAGGGCTGTTGCTCTCTCTACATCTGCCCCAGCTGGACCAGTTTTTCAGCATCAACCTAAGAAAGTGTCAGTTCAAAGACGCGGGGAAGAGGAAATTGGTGATTTGGAGGTAGGATGCACCAAATTAGATACTCCAGCTTCTTCGAGAAAAGAAACTGCTGTTTCAGGTAGAAAGGTCAATTCGACAACGAGTACAAGAAAGGAGAAGTTAAAGGGTATTCGAGAAGATTATCTGAATGTAGTACCAAAAGGAAGCTTAGGAGTAGACGAACTTGCCAAATTACTAGCATAGCTTTATGAATGAATAACAATATTTCAACGATCAAGTCAGTTATTCTTTTCTAAAATGTCGATATGTCATGGTATGTTTTCCTGTAATTTATCTGTATACGTCACTGTACTTCTTTCCTTTTTGTTCTTTTATTCATGTTGGTTCTCTTTAAGTATTTCTGCCATTTGATAACTTGTAAACCCATATATAAGCTTAATTACACGGCGATATGATAATTTTGACTTAAACATGCTAATAAATGATATTTGGAGAGCATATTGAAAAACATGAAGAGATGTTCATATAGTTTTCATTCCTGAAGGAATCCATTGTGTGTTTACACTAGTAGTAGTATAATCTTTGAAGAATGTCCACTTCATTCACTCATGGAACAAATGCCTATCTCCATTCTCTGGAATCCAGGTTCTCTTAGATTGGTGGTAGAGACTTTGCGTCCAAACCACGTTCATTCTCTTCTGGGGTGCAGTATCTTTTCCAGAACCAATGATTTTGCCAAAGCAAGTATATTTCCTCTATGGGAACCTGCTTTGTCTCAGGCAAGAGGAAGAAGATGAAGCAGCTCATGATGAATATCAAGCCCGCGAACAGCAGAAAAATTCCATATTTGAGGTGACAGAGAGACGCAAGGAAGCATTGTGCAATGAGGGCTGTGAAGATCATATTGACACAGACCACCATGCTCTGTCCTGCAGATCTTGTTTCCAGGGGAAATAGTTCACTTGGTACCAGCCAACCTAAGGGACCCCAAGACCTTCCATATGCGACGACAAATATGCAGATTATGACTACAAGGAAGATGCCAATTCCTTTTGGGAGTTCTTCACCTTCTCCAAACTTCAAAGCTAGAGTAACCGCAACTGCTACCTGTGAAGCAAACTTTCAGTCAAGTATATGCTATAATGAAAGCCTTGTTAGGAAGAATTTGAAAGCAGAAAATTACCAAGACACATATCATTTCAACTCCAGCTTCCAGAAAGAAAGCTCTTCTTCCAAACTTGTCAACAAAAGCCATTGAAATAAATGTAGCTAGAACAAGTGCACCACTGGTTATAGCAGATGAATACAATGATGCTCCTGAGCCAAATCCTAAGCTCTGAAATATGACAGGGGCGTAGAAAAGAATGGAGTTCATGCCGGTAAGCTGTTGGAATGCTGGGATCCCCAAAGCTGCTATTACCAATTGGGGACGGTTCTTCCTCTTGAGGAGATTCCTGAATGGATCTTTTATGGCTCTCGCAGCATCACTTGCATCTTTAAGATCAGCAAACTCTGCATCAACTTTTGTGGTACCTCTAATTTTCTCCAATACTTGTCTTGCTTCCTGTAATTTACCCTGTTCTACGAGACTGTTTGGGGTCTCAGGAAGAAAAAGCCCACCAATAAACATAACTGTAGCAGGAACTGTGGCTAAGCCAAGTGATAATCGCCATCCCCATGGATGAATTTTATCAGTTGCATAATTGATAAAGTTGGCTATCAATATCCCCAAGCAAGTTGTGAGTTGAAACAGTTGGTTAACTGCTCCTCGAACTTTTGCAGGTGCCATTTCTGAGAGATACAGAGGGACTGCCTGAAGAAGAACTTAAATCTGTCAGCAAGTTGTAATGTCCTTGTACATAGAGATCAAAAATTGACTTACCTGATTGCCAAATCCAATGCCAACTCCAAGAAGACATCGACCAACAATCAGCATTGCAATGTTCTTTGCAAAAGCATTAAGTATTGCACCAAGAAAAAAACTGACTGCTCCACAAAGTATACTGGCTCGACGCCCTTTGTTGCGGGTAACATGTGAAGCACCAAATGTGGAAACAAGTGCAGCAAAGTACAAAGAGGAAGTAAACAAGGTGAGTATCTGATTGTCATATTTACAGTAATCAGTTTCTTTGAGATGTGCATGCTTCCTTCTGTACACTTTGGGGAAAAACTCTTTCAAGAAATCATCCATGGAAGTCACCCCACCTTAAAAACCACAAATTAGAATCAGAATTTTTCTTTCTACAATTAAAAGTGTTTTTGATGCCTATCTGACTACCTTTATGCTTATTGATTCATAAAACAACAGACACAAAAATCAATTTACTGATATCTACAAGCCTTTGTATTTTGTACATCTAGTAACAAATTTAGGTCTCTTGTTGTATTCGAACAATGATACAAATGACTTGAGAAATACTTTCCTAAACAGATCAGGAAAAAAAGAGAGATGGTTTTTGATTAATACTGACCAGAAACACCAAGATCGTAGCCAAAAAGAGATCCTCCCATTGCTGCAACCACACAAGCAAAAATAAAATAGCCAGTTATCTTATACTCATAGAGATGAGCTCTTTTTCCTCCCTTGTCATCACTAAATCCTCCACCAGCCATACTTTTCTTCTTCTTTCACAAATGTAGAAACTAATGTAGTATTCCTATTTATGCATATCTTTACTTCATCCACTTGCACTCTTTTGGTCAAAGTGTTTACTACAATTCTCACAAAAGGAAAAATATATTTTTAAAGAAATAGATTAAGACAAATAAAAACGGATAAAATATTAATTAATGTTAGGAAAGTAAATAAATGGCTGATTATGTACGTTGCTCTCTTTATTTTTCTAAGGCAAGTTGGTATTGCTTTGATCTCCTACCATTTTTGTCCATAGCGTTGACCCAACTGTCCTAACAATAGAAAATTGCTGGCAGTCTTAACGGACTACATACTAACCAATAGAAAATTCAATTAAATTTGAATTCACATAAAAAAATATTATATTGGAGACAAAATGCTTCCTAACAAAAGCAACTTCATATTCATGTGGGACATACTAACCTTCGCTTATTATTCACATGTAATGACGCTTCTATGAATGTGACATGTTTGAAAATTTATTACTTTACTCAAAACTCTGAGATACCTAACCTTTCTCTGCAAATCATTTTACATCTATTCATATGTTGAGAGCGAAATTTTAAATCTAATCAAATGTCATATACATTTATTTTTACACTTTTTAGATGCAAATTATTATTTAACTTTTTTATAAGTGACTTTTTTTCTAGTAAATTATTAGTTTTAGGTAATTTTTTATCAATTCAACGTTGAAAATCATCCTTTCTAAGACAACTGTTATATGAATTGTAGACATAATTTTGTAAGTAATAAGTTGACAAATTTTAAATAAAGATAAGAATTAGAATCATAGAATCTAGGGAAAAGAGTCTAAAAAATACCCTAACTTTGGTCGGAATTACTGTTACGATACCAAACTTTAATGAGGACCTATTACCCCCTAGACTATTTAATACCGTATTTTAAACATATATATTTGTCCAACTGGTCAAGTGCATGAAAACACAACGCATAGGCGCGTAGGGGACCAGATAATTTTATTTATGCCAATCATTAAATGTCACGTATCAATACAGGGATTAAACTATATCTATTTCTTTTTACCTATAATTCTAATTCATTTTACACCCTTTCTCCTTCGCTGGAAATTATTTTCTAAATCCAAAAGACCACCATTGAAGGGCCAGGTAAGCTTTGCAGGGAACAAATTATTTTCTTTAATTTCAGATTTTTTTTCTTGGTTTTATTTGTTCTATTGTTATTTAGGGTTCTAATTTCTTTCCTTGATTTCTAACATGATTTTGATCTTTGATTTCTTCTTTGGCAATGAAGTGAAAGAGAGTTTTGGGAAAGAGACCCAATGGCTGAGATGTTCAGTCGACTCCCTCCCCCTTTGTGGGGGTCCCGACCCCTACGAGTGAACAGAAAAGGGAGGAGGAAAGAGGCCCTGGTGAACCGTCATAATTAGTGAACAAGTGTAAGCTTCGCTGCCTGACAGTATGGAGTACTGACCACACCGGAGTGGCAGTGAAGTGACTATTAATTTCCCCTTCTTCTTTTTTTACTTTTTCAAATATGTTTATTAAAGTTTTTTTACTTTTTCAAATATGTTTATTAAAGGGAACGAAATGACTAATTTAATTAATTTAATGAATTAAAATGTGCGTGTGACACACTCAACTAACATAGACTGAGTATGGGCAAATATATATGTTTAAAATATGGTATTAAATAGTCTAGAGGGTAATAGGTCCTCATTAAAGAGAATAAAATAATATGTTTTTTTAAAAAAAACCATTATTTATTTGATGCAAATTTGAATTACTCTGTCAATGAACTTTGAAAGAATATTCCATAACTTCTGTCCAAAATGAAAGAAAATATGTTCTTTAAGTTATCAAAAGTATCATGTGGTATTCATAAAATATTCATTGCTAGTTGCTAGTAATAGACATGAATTATTCAGATAAATATAAGTTTTGTTAGGTAGATCGTTATATTTTTTAATACTGAGTTTAGTAGTGTAATGTACGTACCTATGACTTTTGAGTAAAAAAGAAAAAGTAGTTGTATTAATTAATGGAGAGTCAGTTGATGGTTGTCTTGATGATACAATAGATAATGAAATCTCCCAAATTGCTCGTTGCATATTAAAAAGTCAACAAGGTTACCCTTATCCAATGTACACCACAAATAGATAAGGTTTCATGATATTTTTTATTCGAAATATGGTACAATTGAAGTTATAATAGAGAGGGTGTTTGAATTGGCTTAAAAGTTGGTCAAATCTACTTTTAAGTCATTTTTTTACTTTTGAAAGTGTTAGACAAATATAAAAAATAAGTCAAAAAATAACTTAAAATAAGTTAGAAAGTGTTTAGCAAGGTCAAAAATGACTTAAAATAAGTTTAAAATGACGTAAAATAAGTCAAAAATCAAAAGTAGGTCTCCCCCGAATTTTTATTTGACTTAAAAGTCATTTCATTTTGACTCTTATTTTTTACTTAAAAACTATTTTTTTAAGACAATCCAAACGGGTGTGTTTTAGGGAAAGAAAAAGCTGTTTTCCAAAATTGATTTCAACTCTTTAGGAAAAAATCAACTTTTTAAAGAAGTCGGCATTTATTTTTTAAAGGAAAATCAAGATACTTTTAAATAATTCCAAAAAGATTTAAGAGAAAAATCTTTCAAAATTTCAATGGGTTAAAGGTTCTTATTTCCATATTAAGAAGGTTTTACACACTTAAAATGTCCGCTAGCATGCGGTTAACCGACGATTTGAGAACTTTATTTGATTAACTTTTGGGGAAAATGCTTAAAAAATAAATAAAGAATATTAAAACATTATTTGAAAAAGAAATAAATTTAAAACACTTTAAGTAAATTGAGAGTGATTAAGACTAGACAAAATATGATTATGTTTGAAAAACACTTGAATCATCTTGAAGAGATAATAACTTGAATCAAATTTTAAACAAGTAAAAGATTTGGACCAAAACATTTGAGTAAATAAATACAAGAGTTGATTAAATCTTTTAATTAAATGAACCCACACAACAAAAAGAAAGTAAATTTTTAGGAATCTCATAGTGTAAAGAGCAAATTACATCATATTTCTATCTTTTTTTTTAATTTACAAAAATCTCTTCAAATTTGTATCATCCGGATGTATCTCATTCATCTGGATACATAACAGTTGATACATTAGACAACTTGACTGTTGAGATTAAAAAGGAAATTAAAGCGTAAAATTAAATATCCGTTCTCCAAATCATACAAATTAAATTGATGACAATCTCTCCCAAATTGTAACAACTTTAAACAATTCAAATTTCAAATTTTCTTCTCTCAAATCTCTCTCAAATCGTAACTGATTCAAAAAAGTCAAAAACAGTAGCTATGTATCAGATACATTTAGTATAAATTTGAATTTATGTATCATGCCTAAAAAGTTAGTGTTTGATACATTACTATTTATGTATCTTATTTTGTTTGAGAATACTGTATTTTATAAAAGATACATCATACATGTAATTGTTGTCAATAGCACTTTTTTGTGTGTGATACATAACACAGTGATGAGTTAATCCAAACGAATTTGTTATAAAAGCATTAGTGTTTATGTATCAACAATAATATTTGATAATGTGTATAGATACATAACATTCTAGTTGAATAAGTTTGGATGTATGTATCTGGTACTAAAAGATAACGAAATTTGTAATAATTATGTACCAAGTACATAACTATGAACATGATACGTACTAATTTGTGTTTTAATAAATTAAGATTATGTATCAAAACTAATATTTGAACACGATACTTTGTGTATGATGAAATTGTAATGTATCATAATGTTGAAACGAAGGCATTATACATTAATTTAAGAAACAAAAACAACTAAATACATTAAAAATCTGAACCCATATGTATAAGAAAAGGATGAACAAGAAAATATCGAAAAGAAATCAAACAATTTGATAAAGCAAAAAAAATGATGAAGAAATCTTTCTACACTTTCTCCTTTGCTCTGTATCAACTCCCGCAATTTTTTTCAACTTTCAACAATGGTGTCACCCATAGATCTCGATCTAAGCCCGTACCGGAGCCACCAACAACTCGACCTTTCCCGTTCTTTTTTTGGGCGCTCTTCTACGATCAATTTTAAAGTCGAAGATGCATTCTTTTTCGACTATTTGGGTAATCAATATTATGTGAGGTTAACTGAGTAATCACAATACTAAAAGAAGGAGCATCATCCATATTTATAAGTACATTAAAGATGAAAAAATTTAAAAAAATAGAACAAAAAACGATGAACTGTAAGTTAGAGAAGAAGAAAAACTACCTATTGAGGAAGTTGAAATCGATTGACTGGAGAGAAAAAAGAATTGAAATTCAAAATTGTAATGAAGGAAGTAACTGTTGTGATTGAGGGAGTGAAAATAGAAAGAAATTGAAGGAGTGAAAATAGGAAGAGAGAAACGTGTATTTGGGAGTTAAAAGTTATGTATCTAGATGAGTGAGATTTTGGAGGAAAAACATGAATTTTTGTAATATTTTAAATGGTAGAGAATACTAGAAAATATGGTAAATAAGGGTGTGTAGATTGATAATTTTTCCCAAAAGAAATTAGTTCTTCTTTTAGGAAATTTAATTAAGTTAAACGAAAATTAGAACATTGAAACAAAATAACAATTTAATATTTACAGCTAAAATATCAAAAGAGGACTACTTTAGGCCCAAAAGTCAGGTTTTGCTTGCCTGACTGACTTTGGGCCTTCAACTGCTTATCATCTTGGGCTTTGGCCTATTTTAGTCCCTATATCATTGTGAATGCAATACTGTATATCATGTATACTGTTGTATATCCAATCTATACTAATGCATATAACTTAATTCTTGGCTCCTGAGACCTGTAATTTAGGTTCCCTTTCATATGTAAATCAGCTTCCAATCCTTGAAAAACATTCAAGGGTGACTAGAATAGAGGTGTTGGGTCTGACGCATGCCGAGATGCAAAGTAAAATATGAATTTCAATGAACTCAATTCGAGGAAATTCATGCATTAAAAAAAAGGAAGGGATTAGCATATATAAATGACGCTTTGGGTGATTAAACAAAAAAAATATTCGAAAGGAATTAATACTTAGCTTGCACAGAAGGTATCAATTATGTTGTAATTTTTAACCATATCACGAGAAGAGAAAGGGATTCAACACTAATAGCAACATTTGTATAAAGAGAAAAGCAAAGACAATATCTAGAGGACTTTTTTTTATAAGGAAAAATAAAGCAAAATTTGTATAAAGAACAAAGCAAAGACTATCTAGAGGATATATATTTTTTTGGTAAGGAAAGATAAAACATTTTATTAAAAACTTAAAGGAGTACATGGAGTAATGGCCGGTGGCCATCACAGACCCACATGGTCTAAGTTACAGAAAAAAGTAGTTACTATATTGGTAAATCTACGCTAGTTAGAAGGACATTAGAACTATTTCGACGGCTTGAAGGAAAAGTTGCAGCTAGTACGAGTGTTTTAGTAGCTTGAGCCCATTGGTTACCTGCAAGTGAAGTTTGAACAAGAGGAGGTGGTTCATCCAAAATGGAGATGTCCTACAAGAAGTTGCCAGTTAAAGCTGGTTTAGCAAGCCTATCCGCGATGTTATTTACTTTCATGTATGAGTGCACTATGCTTGAATTAGTGAGTTGATGGAGCATCTACCTGCAATCATGTATAATGTGAGCATATGATAAAATGAGAGAGTGTAAAAGGATAATCACTTGAGTAGCATCGAGCTCAATGATTAAAGGTTGTAAATTGTGCAGTAAGGCAAGTTTAAGGCCATTGTAGAGGGCCAATAATTCAGCCTATAAACTGTCAGTATCACAAATGGAGTGTGTGAAACCCAGAACCCAGTTTCCCACATGATCACGAATAAACCTACCTAGGCCTTCTTTACCAAAGATGATATCAAACGCGCCATCAATGCTTAACTTAAAGGATTTTTGTTCCAGGGGCAGCCAAGTAATCCAGATAGGCGTACGAAAAATGTTTAGTTTTTGGCTTATGACCTAAACTGAAAAATTCCATTATACGAACGATGTCTGCTTTGTGATCAGGAATATTGAAAGTATTGTTAAAGAAATTGTTATTACAATTTTTCCAAAACCAAGAAGCATCTCAGAAGGAACATTAGGGAATATATTGAATGGAATCACACGAATCAAAAAAGATAATTAAGTGAGACGCGATGTGTTATGGGTATTAATGGACAAGATGATTGAGTGAAGCCCAAAATTTGTTCATAATGCAATAGAGGTAGGTCAGAAAAGCAAGAGATGGGATATAGTTTCAGTTGAATTTTTCACTGCAAGTAAAGAGAAGATGTGGCTATGCCAATTCGATGGAGGTATGATGCAGTTGGGAGATGTTGGTGACAAGTGAGCCATTTAAAGTCGATATTTTTTTACGGAAGCGGCACCTTCCAGATCCACTCGAAGGAGAATTGGGAAGGATGAGATGAATGATGATTATCAGACTGAGTCAACAAGGCATTATATAAGGACTTGGTTGTGAATGAGCCAGTGGAAGTCAGACCCCAAATATAAGAGTCCTTACTAGGGGTGTTCACGGTTTGGATAAAAACCGATTCAAACAGAAAAATCAAACCAAATCGATAAAATAAAACTGATTTTATTTGGGTTTGGTTTGGTTTGGTTTTAGATTTTTGAAAACCGATAGTATTTGATTTGGTTATGGTTTTATTCAAAAAAACCCAAAGAAATAACCGAACCGAACCTAACCGATGAATTATATACATATATTTTATTAATATACATACTTAATATATTGTTTTTAAGAAATAACCGAACCGAACCGATGAATTATATACATATATTTTATTAATATACATACTTAATATATTGTTTTTATAAACAATTTTAAAGATCTTATACATATTTTCATTAAAATTTCTTTATAATTTACTTATTGAAAGCAAAAATGCCCAAGATGAAACATTTATCTTATTGATTTCATGTATATGAGTGTCTATGACAATTCTTGTGGAACTGAAAATGTTATTGTCTCTTCCTTCTAGGCCAATATAGTGAATTTTAAAGCTTTATTGATAGTAAATTTAGTGATCGAAAGTTCAGTAATTTAAGTCATTCTAACTATTTTTCGTTTAGAATGGATTGTTGTCACTTTTTTCATATTTTAAATGAATTGTTTCTTTTATTTTTGTGTATGGTTAATAACCGAATAACCGAACCAAACCAAACCGAAACCGATAATCACCAAACCGATAAATGTATATTATATTTGGTTTGGTTTGGTTTTGATAATTTTAAAACCGATTAAGTTGATTTGGTTTTGGTTTTGACCAATAACCGATCCAAACCAACCCGTGAACACCCCTAGTCCTTACAATGTGGTTATCTAGGAATATGGTGGGAAATAATTTTTTCCTTTAATTGGAAAGGCAGATCAAAAGGAAGGAAGCAAGCTCCCATTTAAAATTAGCATCCATCAGGACCCGGGGTTTTTAATTTTAAAAGGTTTCTCACAATTAAGGAATCATGATTGGTGAAATATTTTCTCACACATGGTTTAAGGAGCTACTATATGATGTTTTAAGCTTGTATTTGTAACTTAATTGTGCTTTTCCATGTATGATAATAATATGTTTATGAATATTCCTTTGAGATTTTACTTAGCACCGAGAGGATATTGATATGGAAGCTCTCCCATTAGGAGTCCGAGTCTCTAATAGAAATCTCATTGTCCCTAACTACGTGCCCCTGTAGGATTGTCTTAAGTAACATAGATAGTGGATCCACGTAAGCTAGAAGTTAAGGTCCTTACCTTAGAAATTAAGGACATTTCTTTTCGGTATATGAGAAAGACACTAGATTCCACATTATAGCTCACGTGGTCTATGTCGATTATTAGTAAATATCCCACAAAATGAACTAAGTTGTCCTTAAAGATTTAATGGAGCTTTTCTTATGAATTTGAGATGCATTGACCATGTTCGTGATTTATTATGTCTCTTAAAAATATTTTACTATGTTTAGCTTGGTCATGTTTTCGGTTATGTTTACTTATTATCATGTTTTATGTTTCCATGCATATCCTTCGTACTTAGTACATTCCATGTACTAATGCATACTTGTGCCTACATTGTTTCACTAATGTAGGGTGTGACACTTCCTCTCCTCTCCCTCATGGCTAGTTGATCACTTTAAAGATTTGAAGACTTGGTGAGTCCTCATATTTCGAGGATCATGTCACCTTTATTGCTTTCATATTTCTTTACATTTCGGATGTTGTACGTGCTATACGGGTTACATCCCCACCACTTCTTTTGATGTACTAGATGACTTATCAAGACTATGATAGACTTCCGCTTTAATGTCAAACTCTTTTATTCGTATGAGATTTCCTATTTTTGTCTATTGTACTGTGTATATATGTGTCAAGTAACTTGTGTAGGGCCTCTCAGGATCCTATACACCATGTCACTTCTAGGGTGTACCTGTTAGGGTTTTACCCTGATTTTCTTACCATAATTTAAGATTTATTTTTCCTTAAAGAAAAGACAAAACATTAACATAAATGTTTTTACTTTTCCTTTCATAATATTCTTTCATATTTGGTTTATTCTTTCCTTTTAGGAAAAAGGTTTTGGAGTAACTAGTCATTTTCTAATAAGAAAAAGGTTTTAGGACTCTATAAATATAGGTTTGTTTCTTCTAACACAATAACAATAACATCCACAATGTAGTCGTTTAAGAGTCTAGTTTATGGGGAGATTTATTCTCTCTAAAGATTCAATGTTTTTCTTTATATTAGTTTTGATATAATAATATTTTGATTTTTAGTATAAGTTTTTTGTTATCTGATTTATCAACATATGATTTGCAAATTGTAAGCTTCCGCATGACGCCCTTATCACCCTTCATAACCCAACAAGTGGTATCATAGCACATGGTTCAAAGATCCGGTGGTGCTATGGTTCAACGAGGTTGAAGACAAGCTTAAAAATGGTTTCAAATCAATTTGTAATCAATTTGATGATAATGAAGATTTTTGTCAAGCTACATGTGGAGAAGAAGTTTCAATCATATTTTCAACATTCCTGTTGCTGCAATTTTTAAGAATAAAAAATATATATTTTTAACCCATATATTTTAAACTTTATTTTTAACCATGGCAAGCAACAATGATGAAGATTTTGTGAAGAACAAGATTATCATGCAATGAAGAAGACAGATCAAACTTTGTCAAGAAAATTCAGCCAAAAAGGGGAGATTTGTTAGGATTTTGCCCTGATTTTCTTACCATAATTTAAGATTTTTTTTTCCTTAAAGAAAAGACAAAACATTAACATAAATGTTTTTACTTTTCCTGAAAGGAAAATATAATATTCTTTCATATTTGGTTTATTCTTTCCTTTTAGGAAAAAAGTTTTGGAGTAGCTAGTCCTTTTCTAAAAAGAAAAGGTTTTAGGACTCTATAAATAATATATATTTGATTCTTCTAACACAATAACAATAACATCCACAATATAGTCGTTTAAGAGTCTAGTTTATGGGGGAGATTTATTCTCTCTAAAGTTTCAATGTTTTTCTTTATATTAGTTTTGATATAATAATATTTTGATTTTTTTAGTATAACTTTTTTTGTTATCTGATTTATCAACTATATGATTTGCAAATTGTAAGTTTCCGCATGACGCCCTAATCACCCTTCATAACCCAATAGCACCTTGGGTCTTGACAGTAAAATCATTCATGGAGAGAAAACCTTACTTCAATTAAACCCATGGAAGAATCATGAAAACCCTAGAAATTTGGATATAGAAATCATAAGAGAGATTTTAGGTTTCTTTTGGGACTCACTGGGTGGAGAGGACCCATTGCTGAATTTTCCTCATGCCTTGATGAACCCTAGTTTTGAACTTGGAAGAGGAGACGTAAAGCTTGAAGAAATCCTAAATCACCTTTAAAGAATCCTTGAGAAGAAGACTTGAGAGCTTTTGGGGTTTGAGAGTCAATGGGGAGGGTTTTGACCTTAGAAACAGTTATAGGTCTTAGGAATAGTCTAGAAACGACGTACTGTAAAGATTAAAAATGTAGGAAAAGACCTAAATAACCCTAAGAAAATTTTGTCGCAACATTTCTACAACTCCATGTACGGTCCGTACTCCCTTCTACGGACTGTAATAGTCATCCATAAAACAAGTGCTGAAAATCTAACTTTTTGAATAAAAACCACAGGCCAAGGTCTATGGTTCGTTATCTCTTTTACGGCCTGCACATCCGACTTGTAGAACAAGAGCTTGGAAAATTATCCTAAGTCCAGACACCCCTGTTCGGAATGTATTTCCTTCTACAGTCCGTATTGACCCTTTGTTGAACTCAAGTGTGGAAAACTCAACTTTCTAAAGGCTACAACCACGAGACTCAATCACCACCCATCTACCTAACAACGAGTTATCCTATCGGATCATGTGTTAAGGTCAGAGACTTGACAATTTCATCAACTCATGATGTCATTTACGATTGGCACCTACAGACCGTGGAACGAAGTACAGTACTTGCCCTCGTACACTAGTTGCACTAGCAACTTTTCTGCAAAAAAAATTTCCAATTCAACTTTTCTACTTTCGAGGTGTTGCACTTAGGATCCACATCTTATTCAACCAACAATTACTTTAAGAATATGATGTTGCTTGTAGTATTATTCAAAGGTAGAGTCCATGTAACTTTCCAACCGTTCAACTTGAGTTGGTTCAAGAGGAACCACTTTTAAATTTGAAGCAATATTATGGTGGGAAAAAACCACCACAATGTAATAAACAAAATCAATTAAATATACCCAGGTTCAAAGTATTTTTTTAGATTGAAGCCTATCTCGTTGTCACAAAACGGCTTTGTAGATTCTCACAAGTCGGAACTACATAACTTGTTTTTTAATTATATTTTGAGGAACTATAGATGTAAAGAAGAAGAATGAGAAGATCACCTGACAAAAGTAATTTGCATCACTCACAATGAAGAAGTCATTTGCTAAGTTCTCCATTGTACATGAAGTCTAGCACAGTCTATTTTATTGAAGAAATTTAATGAACAGTACCAAGAGCTAGAGAACAAGCTCTTGACATATTAAATTGTGTATCAAAGCACATAGCAAAACAACTAATTCTATCATGCTATAAGAAATAAAAGATTGAGAAATATTAAAATGAAGAAGCTAGCAAACCGAGTAAACAAAGGAAAATAAAAGTTCAAAGGATCTTTCTGGATTCAACAAACCAACCAAATTGACATTAAGTTTAAACGAAAGGTAACAAATCAAATTAACAAATAGAACATTGAACAACACATAAACCAAGCAAATGAAGACATAAGATGCTCCACAGTAAGAATTTTTTGATAGATCTGCAAAAGAAAATATTCCGATTGAAAGGAAAATTCAGAAAAATAACAAATGAAAAATAAAGGAGGTGTGGTGTACCTTTTTGTTAGAGCGGAGCGGATCTTTGAGGAATTGGAATGAAACGGTCGTCTCCAAATTTGGGTACAAAACGAGTCTGTTGTTTTCCGTGGAACATAAAGGAATCCTTTTTAGAATAACAAATGTGGAAGACAGAAAAAAATGCAACACGTGGAACATTTTCCATGGATGTGGAAATACGCGAGAAAGAAACAAGGATGGGAGAAGGAAAAATTACCGGCTTACCTTTTTGAGAAATGAACTCCTTTCATTCCTTTTTAGTTCGAAAGTTCATTTGATTGAATTTTAAAGCTTAATTAGATCATATTGATTCGATATTTTAAAGTAAAAATTTGAATAATCAAAAAACTATAAAAAAGTAGTATAAATTTCAAAATAATTTCATATTAATATGATGAAAAAAATCAAATAATAATTAAAATTTATATCGTTTAACTCTAATAAAAATAACTATGACAATTAAAAAGAAATAAAAAAAATATTAAGAAACATATATTTTTTTTATGTGAGAACGGAGATAGAATTTATTGAGCATTTTGGTGGGCGATCCATGGATAGTTTCCCAATGTGTTTTGACCGTCAGAAGAGTGTGTTGTAGAAGAGCTCTAAATTGATGGAGATCATTAAATTGAATTTGTAATGAAGAATCTCCCATCTGTACTTTCCTCTCTCACAAAGCAATCAAAGTTGACATGTCCTGCTTACTTCCTCAACACTCGACACGTGTCCTCACGCTGTCCCAAATTACCTAAACACACACACTTTTTTTCACCATTTTCAGTTTGTTTTTTTTTTTTTAAATTCGAAATCTGGAGAGAAAACCCATTTGTTTATGGTGTGAAAGTGGGCCATTATGTTGAAGCTTGTCGATAAAGATAGCTTGGGTCGTCTACTCTCCATTCTCTTTCCAATCAAATTCACAAGTAGATCGTGATAAGTACATCATTTTTATATTATAGTTTTGGTAAAATTATGCTTTATTGGGAATTGAGATAGATGTAGATTTTGGCTATATTTATGGGGCTAAACAATAGGATGCTTTTGGGTTTGTGCACTCTTTCAATGTTGCCCTTCAATTCTCATATCACACCCTATGTATGTAAGTTAGTCTCTTGCTTTTTGTGTAATTTGATTGCATGCATTTCAATTTCTCCTATTTTACATACTAGTCACTGTTTGGTGCCCTTCTGTTTCTTAGTTTTGCTGTTAAATATTAGCGTTTGAACTTAAGTTGTGTGGACTCTTCACTTTTGGTGTAGTACCTGTGTCGACACCACATAGGTGTGGGTGTGGTCAATCGATTTTGTGTATTTTTACCAACATTGATAGAGAATTTAAAGACAGATGCAATGATTTATGAAACTCCGCAACCAGTACTGTTGAATGTGTAATGAACAGTTTATCATTTAAATAGCCATGTTATGCCAAAAGAATACTGTAGTAAGGAGATGCATTTCTACTTAATAGATTCAAATTTGCCTTATTAAATTTGTGCATTCCTTTCCTTCCAAATAATCTACCATAATTTAGGACATATTTCTATAAAATGTATTTTTGGACATTTGAATTATTTTAGCCGAATCCAGCACCCGTATCCATACCTAGATCTGTACTCCCAAATTGTATAATTTAGATCATGACAGATGTATCAGACACCCGTACCCGAGTCCGAGTGATTGAACTGATGAGTGTTGAGGTTAAAGAAATAGCAGTGTACCTTTCCTCAGCATGTAGGACTGCGTGTTCTACTCATGACCATTCTTGTGTTAAAATGAACCTATCTTCCCTCGGATGTGTTGAATTCATTTCTGTTGTAATTTTAAAAGAGGTTTACATAGTCTGATCTATTTGGGTTGAATGTAGTATGGGGGGTTAGTATATCTATGGAGAAATCATCGGCGTTCCCTGAGAAGTAAGTGTGAAGTGCGTTGTACTCATTACTTAATGTAATCTTTGACTTACATCAGTGTTCATATCTATTGATCACAACTGAGGTTTTATGCTGTTTATTGCGACAACACGTTGCCTGAGACATATAAAGAGAGAGCTGTTATGATGAATGTTTCTGAGTTTGAGATTTCTTATCTTCCTCTCTAATTTTGAGAGTTGTGACATCTGGAAATATTTGATCTTTTCTTCTGCTGCTTGAATTCCTGATCTGATTTGGTGGTCCTTTGCAGGTTTCGTCTGTACTTGATCATTGTAATTCATAAACAGAAAGATCTTGATTAAGTTCTCTTCTGATGCAACATGGAGGATCCCTTTTTACATCTTGCAAGCTTGAGCTCTTATATAGCCCAGCAATTTGTTCAATTTATTGGTGAGTTCTCTAAAAAACTATGCATGTGCAAAATATAAAGTCCTTGAGCATCTATTGTTTTATATTCGCTGTCTATGGTTTCCTATGTGATAAAGGTTTGATTCTATTGCAGAGGATCTTATCTGCAGAGATATCCTTGGGTGGTCAGAATATTTAGTTGACTTTGGTGGTCTGCTTGTAAACTTTACCAGTGACGGGGGTTGTAGAACTGTTCCTGAGGCTTGTTCATTTCCTTCAAGAGTATCTGACACAGGAACAAGCTTTAGAATTCACGCAAGACGATCCTCCTATGTCAATGATAACTTGCCTGTAAATTCATTATTAGAAATTGTAAGAAGTAATCAAAGTTATGGAGGTTTCAGACTCATTTTTGAAGGGTAAACTTTTCATTTGTATGCTTTTCCCATCCTCCTTCGAGGTCATTGTGCAGGATATCTATGGATTCCTTGATTTTCAGAACCAGAATTAGAACTCTGAACATAAGAAATCAACTTATCTTGGTTTTATTTTCTAGTAGCATATATCTCTTTCCGCCATTACATAGTCATGACTGTCCTAATTTATTCTGCAGTTGGTTGATCTGGTTGTAGGTTGATGCTTCCAGTATATGGTCTGAGATTCACTTGGAAACTTTCGTTGGCCTCTTGGAGGTGTTTCATATCTCATATCAGATGTGCTCTAGTTCAAGTTCAGAGGTTAGTAATCACTTCCTGACTGTCGGTAAATGATAAATATTTGAAGTTTGATGAGTATTTTAGATCATTTCTTCCATTTGACATTCAGCACCTTTACTTTTAGTTTCCTATTACTTACTCTTCACTAATCTCTTCAGTGTTATATCCCGTGTACGTACAACCTTGCGTGGGTCTTCTGATGACATTGGGTGGTTGCAACAAGCTACTGAAATGGCTCCTGTTGTTGATGGTTCAGCTAGATTTAGAGAACTACTACAAGATATTAGGTAAGATGATGGATCTTACTAGTCACTTTGAAAATAGAAACAAAGCCAGATAAGTCTCCCAAAATAAAGAGCACATATCTTGTCAGTGGTGAGTTCTTGGTCATTTTTTCTTTTTTATCAATTGACATAGGTGCTGAATAACATGAAAATGAAACCACACCAACTGCACACTATTAAACCATCATGAAAGGGTTCTATGTTCAGCTGATGAGATTCTTTTCAAGGTTGTTGCCATGTTTCATGTTAATTTTGAGTTTTTTGTTTTACTGGCCCAACTTAGAACTCCAGGACTGATGACTTATATTGCTCGGAATGTGTGTTTTCTTCTACTTTTTTTTGGCTACTCTGTGTAGTGACGAAAGAAGGTATCTGTAACTTCTTAAAGTGATAGTTGTGATATGGACTTTGTTAGTAGGATACTCCTACTGATTTGAATGAGATCAACCAAACCATATTATGTGCTTTTCATTTTGCTGATTCTCTATGTTATAGATTGACAAAGTTGTTTTGAAATATGGTACACAGCAATTTAAAAATCTGCGTTTCAGCAATACGAATCATTACCCTTGTACTTTAATGTTTACGAACAAAACTTGTCTGAATATGAATTCTTGCAAATATGACAAGTCCTGAAACAGCATTCTTGTTTCAAACCGTAACAGAAAAAACAAAAGGTCTTAACGTTGAGTTGTATTACTCTATGCCCATTAGTTTTTGGTTTCTCTGAAGTAATCTTTAGTAACTACAAATAAAGGAGGCACCAGGACATTTTATTCTGCATTTTCTTTTTGGCCTGTTAATATTAGGGGGAATGCTTTGCTTTTGTTTACTTCCGAGTTGCTAATATGGTAAATCACGTTGCCCTCCTTAAGATTTTTCTTCATATATAACCTGAAAGATTCATGTTTTAATCAATATAGCTGAGGATATATAGAAGCCATTGTATATATATTATCCAACCATTAGATTCCTTTGCAAGTGGCTTTTGTTACTGAAGGATATGTGAAAACATATGAAAATTATCTTCATTTCTCTTGACTGTTTTTGGTCAACATTCTTTTGGAGTCCTATGCCACAATACAACTGTGTTAACCCAACAGGATTATCTCTACTTATCAATGAAATTTAGTCCTACTATTATGGTGAGTGTTCCTCAGATGTCTGTCTCTGGTTCAGTCTTCACATTAATTTGAATATTTCATTGCAACTGCCTAACTGCCAATTAACGACAATTTTTCATTTGACTTTTTTCTTCCTTTTTTAGGAATGGACAGCACACACTGCCTGATTCTTTTGTTTATCTACTGATTCCAGGTTTAATAAATCTCCTGCTGAATACTACTTTGTTGAAATTTAATTTTAGTTACTCCAGTCATTTTTAGCACATGCTTAGGTTTAGGATGAATTTTAATTTTAATTTTTTATTAGGTTATTTAAGTTGAGATATTTTAGCTCTTTTGAATTGCAGATTTTCTGCATAATATGTGTTCAAGTTGACTATTTAAAACCCTCTTATGCTTAATAAAAATATTGAGAAACAATTCCAATCATTTTAAATCTTTTTGTTGCTCCACCATCTTTTTAAAAAAAACCAACAGTTGTATCAAGAGCCTCATTGATCTTATGGGATCTATGAGTTCTTCTAAAGAACTATTTTCAACCCATTTTTAACCGACATGGCTATTTCTAACCCGTACTTATTTTAACGCGCAAGGCTATTTCAACCAATATCAATTTTGAATCCGTTTTTCAGCCATGACAAGCAACAAGTCTCTTTCAACGTCCCATAAGCTTTCATTGGCGAAAGCTTTCTGATTTAGTTAAGTGAAAATGAAATCGCATTTTGGAACCTATGTTTTATGGATGTTGTGATGGAAGAAAATCCTTGTAACAGCTCCTTGCAAATCCTATCATTGTCTAGATTAAAGCACTTTGAAAAGAGCTTTCGAACTAGACAAGATTATTGAGGATTTTTTAAGCACAAAACCAACAGAAGAAAAGAAAGATCAATATAAAAAAAATGTGCAAGTTCAAAAATAATCAAAAGAAACTAACTGTTAAAGCAGAAATTGAGGAACATTCTTTTAAATAGCAATAATTAAAGCAAAGGATTAGTGTTCAACTTTACATCTAGTTATTACAGTAATTTTTAGCGTAATAAGTTGCTTTGGTCTTAGATGAATTTGAATTTTAAATTTTTACTAGGTTGTTTAGTTGAGATTTTTTTATTTTTTTATTTTACTTTTGTGTATTATGTGTTCAACTTGGTTGTTTAAAGTCTTCTTATGCTTAATAATTTTGATCAGTTTAAATCATTTTGTTACTCCACTATCTTCTTTTTTTTTAAAAACAATACTTTTTACTGGATTGTCAATATGTTCTGAATTCGTTCTCTTAGAGCTTTTCTTTTGGTGACATAATTGTAACAGGGTTTTTCAGCAATCACGGTCCTTTATATTTTGTGAGCACTAAGAAGTTTTTTTCGAAGATGGGGTTAACTTGCCATATTGCTAAGATACATAGTGAGGTATGTACTAGTAGATTTTCAAAGTCTAGTCTGCTAACATATCAACTTGCTCTCTGGAATTCTTTTTAATGTTCTCCCAACTATGCTTTTCTGTTACTGTTGGTTCATTGATCACCAAATGAAGGCATCCGTGGAACAAAATGCGTGGGAACTGAAGCAATGCATCGAGGAGTTACATTGGGGATCAGGAAAACATGTCATGCTGCTTGGTCACAGTAAGGGTGGGGTTGATGCTGCCGCCGCTTTGTCAAAATATTGGCATGATTTAAAGGATAAAGTTGCAGGACTGGCATTTGTGCAGAGCCCTTATGGTGGAATACCTGTTGCATCAGATATTCTTCGTGACGGACAGATTGCTGACAAGGAAACACGAAGGATCATGGAGTTTTTACTATGCAAGTTAATTAAGGTAATTCCTTGGTCCACAACTATTTTGGGTTAGTTAAAAACTATAATGCTGAAGTGTCCCAACTCTTTTCCATGTTGTGATGTATATCCAATTAAGTGCTTTTTTTAGCACTAGGATTTACGCCAGTTTGCCAAACATTAGTGTTCTTATATTGTACCTTAAAATTTGGTAGTACTACAAGGTAATACTGTCTTTTAATGCATATTTAAAAAGTTTTTGAGTACCTAAATTTCCCTTAGATCTTAATAACATCAAAAACAAAATATGAACATCTTTCGGAAACATGCCATTTAGATTTTTATCAGATATCGTCAACACACTTTATTTCCAAGTTAAGTGAACATACTGGATGCGAGATGTCTATTATTTACAACTTAGAATTATTTCCAAGTTGTCTGGTTCTTATAATAAAGGAGGACTAGAATATAAAGAAATGGAAGTTGTATACGTATTAATTGGAAGTGTTACTCATTGAGAAACTTAGAATGTACTCCTGGTGATATTTAAGTTCCTCACCCCCCTTGCGTTTTAAAAGGCATTTGTGAGATGGCTTACTGATTCTTCTACTACTAGACAAATTTGCTTAATAGGGTGAATTTTTGTCGTGATGATAAATGATCCATATACTCTTTCATATGTCTGTTCTACATATACCCATCGTATACCTGTTTCACATTTCTCTTTCACTTTGTTCAGCTTTGTTTCATTGGTGCGTATACTCAATATTCTAAACATCCCTTGGCGCATGTCTATGAATATGCGTGTTGTTTTGATTGACCAAGTTGAACTATTCTGTATTAGGGTGATATACGGGCATTAGAGGATCTAACATACGAGAAGCGAAAGGAGTTCTTAAAAAACCACAAGCTTCCTGATGATATTCCACTCATCTCCTTCCATTCTGAAGCAAGTATAGCACTGAATGTAATAGCAACAATGTCCCATATAGCACATGCAGAACTTCCGTGGCTACCTTTGCCCGGATTTGGTGACAATGAGTCGGAGAATGTGATCCAAGCAGGGTGCAAGGTGCCTGTCATAGTTCCTGTTTCTGCTGCACTGGCTCTTTGTGCTCTCCACCTGCAACTAAGGTATGGAGAGAAGAGTGATGGTCTAGTGACCTGTCGTGATGCTGAAGTTCCCGGGTCAGTGGTTGTAAAACCAGACATAAAGCTTGATCATGCTTGGATGGTTTATTCGTCATGGAGAAAGGACCCAAATGAAGCGGACGCTAGTGAAATGTGTGAGGCTCTCTTAACTATGCTTGTGGAACTCGGTATGAAACGAAAGGAAGATTGTTGACTTGTATGCGATGTTAGATTGAATCCTTTGAACAATCAAGTTCCCTGATAACTAGATGGAACTGAAATATCAGATGTTTTTTCCAACCTACTCTGATTAATGTCTAGATATGGTTTTGTTTTAGCTAGTACGTATAATCTCTGAGAAGTACCAGTTAGTTCCATTTCAAATTGCAATAAGCAGGTAATTTAGTCATCACTTAACATGACATTGGTCAAGAATGTTAGGTTGCTTTATTTGGAAATCATTAATTACTACCTCCGTCCACTTTTAATTGTCATAGTTTCTTTTTTTAGAGTCAAATAATAATAACCTTAACTAACAATTTACGATTATTTTTTCATCATATTGATATGCATTTTTCGTATAGTTTTTGAATATCTAAATTTTTTGTTTAAAATATCAAATTAATGTAATCTAATTTAATTTTAAAAATTAGTCAAATTGACTTAACATGACAATTAAAAGTGAATAGAGGAAGTATTATTAATTTGAATATGCCAAAGCTTTTGAGTTCAATCACTTATATTGGTAATTTGTTCCTGTCACGCATCCAGGGGTTTTCCTATTAATTTTCTTCATGCTAAATCAATCTTTAGGGGTCGTTTGGTTGGATGTCGTGGAGAAAATAACACATGTATTAGTTGTGTTATTATTTAATGAGTAAATTTTAGGTGTAGCAAACATAAAAATTATATTTGTATGCTATGTCTATAGTTTGTATAATTGCGCTCCATAGCAAACATAAAGTTTGTTATGGTTATTAATCTGTATATTTCGGTATACATAAACATAAAAAATATGTATTTGGGTCTATTTGTATATTTTGGTATACAAATGGGTTCTGCATTTGTATATTTCGGTATACAAATGGGTCCTGCATTTGTATATTTCGGTATACAAATGGGTCCTGCATTTGTATATTTCGGTATACAAATGGGTCCTGCATTTGTATATTTCGGTATACAAATGGGTCCTGCATTTGTATATTTCGGTATACAAATGGGTCCTGCATTTGTATATTTCGGTATACAAATGGGTCCTGCATTTGTATATTTCGGTATACAAATGGGTCCTGCATTTGTATATTTCGGTATACAAATAGGATGGCAAAAAACATGGAATGTTTGCTACGAATTACAAATAATAGAAACTATGGCTATAACATTTAATTTGAATTAATAGTTTATTATTTCATACAATTTTCCCTTATTGAATTTTTTGTTTGGTAGACTTTTTAGACTGTGTTGTGAACCGAGTTGGATATGTAAGGGCCTATGGACTAGAATTGGTGGAGATTTATTTAGTTGGGATTATTGGGCCGAGTAAAATGTTGGAGTGTTTTATTTGGAATCCCGGCCCAATTAGCACTTGGTTAAAAGGGCAAATGAGTTGGAAAGAAGGGTTTACGCATATTATGAAAGAAGTTGTTTGTTATTCTCATCTCATATCTTTCTAGATTCTAAGCTTCTCATCTCCCTTCTAGCGTATATTGATCCCTAGTTCTTACGTTCAATATTTCTATATTTCTGTTTGGGCTTTTGCTAATTGAGTTGTTGCATTTAGTTTTCAGATTTGTAATTGAACTCTAGTCTTATTATAATAGTTGAGAAGTTGGTTATTGTTACATTCAAATTGAGTTCATTACATTGGTGCTTTTATTGCTCGTGCTGGATCGCTTCAACGGTGTTTTCGATCCATCAGTATGGGTTTATCAGGCAGAGTGTTATTTCAATTTTCATGGCTTCTCGAAGGGTATGTGGTTATCTCTTCCTTACATTTACTTTGACGGAGAAGCCCTCGCTTGGTTTAATTGGTTGTATCGCAATAAGCAATTCTATGATTGGAAGCATTTCACTGATAAATTGTTTTACCATTACCGTAGACAAACTGTTACGAAATTTGGATTGCCTCCCGTAACTGATCTATTGCTACAAATAGATCGTCACCTGGATAACATTCATAATACTATATCGGCTTGCTCCTAAAAGTTTTATGACGCTCCAACACGTTTAGATTTGACTATATCTTTGGCCGATAAGTGTATCATAGAGAAGGTCGTTGAACAGGAATTTGTTTCTTCTTTGGACAACTCCAACCCTACAGAGAATTTAGAGGTTACTCATACCATTGAGACTTTGGGTCCCATGTTGGAGTCCAAAAATGACTTGAAGGGTGACCTAATCAATTATGCCTGCAAGATGTTCGCTGAAATGCCTAATAAGAAAATTGTCATGAAAGTCGAACATCCAGTGATAAATGATTCCGAAAATCTGGCATTCCATATATTTGATGAAATGTTTCAAACAGTTTCTGCAGTTAAGGGAGAGTACAATGACCTTGTCATGTTTATTATGCAACTTGGACTTGAAATAGCCCTATGCTCGGAGGAGATGTCTGGAATGCTGTCAACTTGCACATATGTCCAACTTATAAACAGAGGTATAATTGATCACTTTAGTAGACTTGGTCATGCTTCACTTATCTTAACTTTGCATTTGTTTCCACCTGATCAATTTGGATTAGCGTTTCCATTTGATCCTGGCTCTCGTTTACTTATCACGGTCCTTAGAGTTACAAGAAACTATGTATTTTGTGTCGCTTTAGACAACTTGGATCATGATAGGTTAATTATGTCAACCTTGTGGTATTCTTGCATTTGGGTTGGTAAAGGACAAGATCAATATCTTTCTGGTATCTGGTTGTCTACATCGAGAGAATTTGGTAGGACGGAGAAAATACAGGGGTTGCTTGAGGCATTTGATGCACGATATTCGAAGCAGTTTCCCGATATTCTTGTCAGCAAAGATGATGTGCTCTTGTTTGTTATATTTGGTGTAGTTCATATATCAAAGCCAACTTTGTCGTATCTCGTCTTTGGTCCGGGTCCTTATCTTGCTTATGATATATTTGCCAAGTTACTTGGTAATGAAATGGACGTATTTCGCCAACAGTTATATCTTGATGAAGAACTTGCACCACAAAGAACGACTGACAACTTGCCTCACTTTATCACCAAACTCTTCGAACGATTCAACGTTGTTACACTGATAGCATCTTTAACACAGTTAATGTGGAGGCATTACAATTACAAGGTTGTTTTGGCAGGTGTTGCTTAATTGCTTATTCGACCTCTATGACTAGAGTGTGGGATCCCGAACAATCTTGGTGTGTGAATTCCTCCATTTTGCAGTATGATTCAGCTCTAGCAGTTGCTCTTTCATCAAATTATACATTTTTATATTGTTGAAAAAAGCCTTTCCTTTTACCTGACAACATTGACATCAAAGGTGACTGGATTGACTTGGAGAAGAAATGTTCTTGTTTTCCTTTAAGCATGGCATGCTGAAAATAAGGCTCGATACATGGACATGTGTATTTTAGAGACTTGTTTGCTCAAGGTTAATGTTTTCGCAAGTCTTGGCACCTCCCTACTTTGGAAGGATAATTTTGACCTCTCCCATGTTGCCAAATATCTCTGTAGTTTTTGGTCAGCTAGCATTATGCTGTTTTATTTAAAAAATATATTTAAGACTAGTTTTAAGAGTCGCAACTTAATTTTAAAGTAATATTAAGAAAACTATTGTTTACAAAAGACTAAAACAGAAATCTAATGAAAACTTTAAAAAGGGTTCGGGGTTCTTATTAGCATTTCGGGAAGGGTTTGAAAGCACCCGAAATGCCCGCTAATACGCGGTTATCCGGCAATTCATTATTTGGCTAAAATAATTTTAACTTAGCTTGAATTGCAAAAACGGAACCATTTTATAGTTAGGACCATTTTAAGGGAGAAATAGAAAAACGTTGAAATATTATCTAAGCGAAATATCTTGTGAACTTATTTATTTGTATATTTTTTAAGTTAAGTAAAAGATGAATAATTTAGTTAAATGATTAATTCAGAATGGGTGTCTTCTGGGGGTTTGAATGTTCGAAACCTTAAAATCGATAACAAATAAACAAACATAATAAATAAAGAGGGAGAGACTTGGACCCAAGTCTGATTTTTCTGTCCGCCTGGGCCAGTACTTGGGCCCATTTTCATTTTGGGCCTTTGGCCCATTAGAGTCACCTGCACCTGTCCTAGTCTAACATAAAATATATATCTTTCTATTGGGCCTTAGGCCCAGTTCCTCACATGTCCTAAGAACTAACAAATAATAGCAAATGAGTGGGCTTAGGCCTAAAAATACAAAATTTTGAATTAAGAATGGGCCTTTGGCCCAATCTTCTCGCTTCTTTTAACTTCGCGACCTATTCGTCAATTTTTTATAGCTGGAAGACTCGAAAAGAGGGAATTTGAGCCTTTACAGCTCTCCCGAAATGCAAGAGAGAAGATAGGAGTTCGTAATGAACTCAAGCAGATTTTTCATGCAAAACGAAGAAAAGAACAAGAGAATCAGTAACCAGTAATAACATCTCTGAACTAGTCACTAAATGATAAACGTATCAAAAGGAACATAACCCATTTATATTGCAAGCAACTAGCAGTAGTTGTGAACAAAAATGCAAATAAATGAAAAGAAAAACCAAGAGCAAGCTAAGATGACCAAACTCCTCACGCTTATACTATTGTCTCCGACTCACTCCCATTTTTAGCAAATTACCAGTAGTCGAAATAGGCAAGTGTGGACACATAGAAAAAATAATAATTAAATTCTAAATTGTAGACCAAAGAAATAAGATAACATGAAATTGCTAAAGTCCAATTTGGCAACTACGGCATCAAGGAAATACATTTGAGACCGAAACAATTCATTACTTAGCACACTTCGGGAACACATGAATCAGCCAAGGAATATACTTCTAAAAACGATAATAATTATTGATTTTAGACATAAGATGAACAAGTCAGAATCTTTGTTAAATATTTATCTCAACAATACTACTTTTAGCTGAAAAATCGACTTATTGCAGACGAGGAGACTAATAACACAATAAAGGTTGTCATTCTCCACATTCTTAAGTAATTGTCACCCGGAACTTTCAGTACAGAAAACAACATTAATTACTGATGGAAGGATCAAATTCCAAATAAGTTGGGGAGCCAGTGATGAGATCATTAAGGGATAAAAAGCATGTTGGACACAAACACGAGTAGACATGAATAAATACAAGAAAACTGCAGAG